CGTCGTTAACTTATTCAGCCAGTTAATTAGCTAGCTAGAATAGTTAGCATATTAGCTAGCCATTGCTCTCGGTCAACGATCCAACCCCTCCCCCCACTGTATGAAACACACAGAGCCAAGCTAACGTTAACTACTCACCCATGTCTTGAATTCCTTTTGAATGACTCTGGTTACCAGTATGAAAAAATAAATGTAGGTTATAACTTACCCTTAGTAGCTACTGTTAGCTAGTTAAGTGTAAAGCTAGCCACTGAATCGATTCAGCCAGTTCAAGTCTGTCCCAATGGAGAGCGAGCGTCTCCAAATATTAAAGCTAGGTCGTTCCAGCTATTGTTTATTTAGCTATCCAGGTAGCAACAAGCTAGCTACATTTCGAGTACAGTAGCTACTAACTACCTAACGTTAACGCTTCAGATAATGAGGTTAGAAATACAGCTGAACGGTAGGTAGCTAGCTGGCATAATTACAGGTACTCTTAAGCATGAAATAACATTGGAAACAACTATCCACAGTTGCTAATAGTTACCAGTAGCTACCCGCTAGCTAGCTAGCTTTATTGGTCCAGGTAGTGGGTTAGCTAGCCTCGTGCTTCACCGGGCCCAGCCGAATACAATACTTACCTACAATAATTACATACAATAACTTCCTAGATAAACTACCTACAATACCTACCTACAATCTAAATACATGGTTTAAGTTTTACTCGTCACCATATAAGAAGCCAAGCTTACTTCCCGCCCTAGAGAAACACAACCTTACCCCATCGTGTCCTAAGTAATAGAAAACGATATTGACGTTGGGGATGCTGACCCTATCCGTCAGCGGTTCTATGGAGTTTCTTCAGAGAAACGTAGTTGTCTCGATGCTGAGATAAGGTACACGTTGGTGAATGATATTGCAGAGCCTTCTTTCTCCAGCTTGGCTCCTCCCTGTATCTTGGTCAGTAAACCGAATGAGACAAACCAATTTTGTACGGACTACCGTAAGGTAAACAGTGTCACTAAACCAGATTTAATTTCCTCTTCCTCGGATGGAGTACTGCGTTGATCAGGTCAGAGCAGCAAAGTTTGTGAGCAAGTTTGACCTGATAAAGGGCTATTGGCAGGTGCCACTGACGTGTAGGGCACGCAAAATCTCTGCCTCTACTACACCCTCCGGTCTGTACTCATATTTGGTTAGGAGTTTTGGCCTGCGTAACGCACCTGCCGCTTTTCAGCGCCTTATGAATCGGGTTTTCTCCGGTTGGATGCGCTGTTTATCTGGACGATGTAGTGGTTTATGCAGATATTTGGGAGGAGCATCTGTCCCGTATTCAAGCCTTGTTTGACCGCCTGGCTGCAGGTCGCCTCACTATCAACTTGGCAAAGTGTGAGTTTGCTCAGGCGACCGTGACGTACCTTGGTAAGGTGGTTGGGCAGGGTGAGGTGCGTCCTGTTCTGGCTAAAGTGGTAGCTATTGATGCTTTTCCACCGACAACTACTAAAAAGGCTTTTGATGATGCGAATAGGTTGCTTACCTCAACTCTTTTGCTGGCTGCTCCTCGCGTGGATTTGTCATTCACCTTGCAGGGTGGATGCGAGTCACGTGGGGGCAGGCGCAGTCCTGCTGCAAGCAGATGTGTACGGTGTTGAGGCCGTTAGTTTATTTTCTATTAAGTTTAACTGTTATCAATTGAACTACTCCATGGAGGAAAAAGAAGCGCTAGCACTCATATGGGCGCTACATCACTTCGAGGTGTAAGTCTGGTGTAGTACCTATTGTGGTCTACACCAACCATAACCCTCTTACCTTGAGGTCTATGATGTGTAGTAACCAGAGGATAATGAGATGGTGTTTTTACAGGCATTCCATCTCGATGTGCGGCACATCAGGTGGTCTGATAATGTGGTTGCTGACGCTCTCTTGTGTGTCCTTTTCCTGAACGCGTCTGGTCCTATTGATCGGTGGTCACGCGTTTTCTCATTCGCGTTGTTCCTGAGTGTTGTGAGGTATGCGTGTCGTGCACGTGACCAGCCACTGTTTAATATGTTTTGTCCTGTCACTCCTGTCATCTGTTCGCTGTTGTCCTCGTTTTTTTTCTTTCCTCTTAAAGGGTGCTTCCTGTGCGCAAAGGTAGCTGAGGTCTGGGGAGGATGAGGTTGGCTGGGGCAGTGGGGTAGCTTTAACCAGGGCAGTATGTTTGCGTTTCTGTATGTATTATTATTTTTTGTTAATATTTATATTATTATTTTTTGGGGGTTGGTGTGGTGTTCCGGTGTCCTTGGTGGTCCCCGGTTTTATGGGGTGGGCGGAGCTGGGAGGGTCGTCAGTGAGATGGGACACACCTGGGCTCGGGTGTGTCCCGGGGATAAATACACATTTCCCCCATACATCGAGGAGACTCTCCACGCAGTGTTTTGGGGCTTCTTTGTGTTGGTTTATTTTGGCACCCCTCACTATCACCATCTATGCACACATCCACTCACTTACACTATTGGCTACACACATCATTGTTACTTGTATATAGGTTACTTTATTTAATACAAATATTTTATTTCTTTTATCTCCTCGTTGTCTCCCTCTTTGTTACGAGCTACGAGCCGGTTCGTAACAGGTTATCTTATTGCAGAGCACATTGGACAACTGTTTTTAGAGAAGATTGTATCGTAAGGTATACTATATGTCTAGGTTATGCCGTATGTTTTGGCTAATATGCAGCTGTTGTTTTTAAAACTCCATTCTAGCATACGTGACACACCTTTGTATCTACATGCATTTGTTTGGTTTTCTATGCAAATATATGATTGAATATTTCTTTAAGCCTGCAGCTAGTTACTTGAAATGAGACATAATCATGCCAAAACATGATACAAAATGTTTATTCACTGACAGAACGATAACTAATGAAACACAAGATTTGACATAATTGACATTTACAGTAGGTTATGTGATTTGACATGCCAAAGTGATTACTATTTGTAAAAATGCTTTATCTGCCTTCCGATGGAAACTAGTTAAGATATATTTTCTATGTATAGAGATGTATGTTTTTCTAGACGATGCAACATGCTGCCTTGTTGACAACATGATCGAGCGGCGCGTATTACTGTTCGATTTGAGAAGGACGCTCCTACCTCACCACTTTTGCCCTTTCACGTCACGGGCCATAGACTGGTGCACCGCGGCTCAGATTAATAGAACTCCCTCATTGGTTTCCTTACCTTGTAAGCAGTCTATGGACAAGGTATGGCAGCAATCCATGCTTTGGATTAGTTTCCCTGGCAGTGGCTGGCACGGTTATCAAATGCTAATGTTTTAGCATTTGTGTCACAAATCCCATTCAAGTCCTGGGACCGATATTAGCATTTATTTCGCATGTTCAAATCATCTATAAGTTACTTTATTGAGCATCACAATCCATTTTTAGGTACTTTTGGATCATTTGGACAGGATGTGTGAAAAGTGCAAATATCGGTACCATTACTTGAATGGGATTTGTGCCACAAATTCTAAAATGTTAGCATTTGGAAACAGTGGCAGACAAACTAAACCAAAGCATGGATTGCTTGTCCGTAGACTCGGGTGCGCAACTTTCACTGGGGACGGGTGGACATGTCTCCCCCACATTCTGAAATTTCCCAATTTTATTCAGGGGAAACGGAAGTTAGGTTGAAAATAGTGTCCCTGAAAACCGGCAACATCCGCTTTCTGCCAACGGCGCTAGGGTTATCTAGCTAGATATCTATCTACCGTTACCTGAGCGGTATCCTACGAAGCAAGCTAGTTCTACACATGGTTTTCTAAAGATAACCAGATTCACATTCCAGCTCAGGCTTCATCCGTACTACGACGGTTGATATTGCTCGTCCGCCTGCCGCTAACTCTAGCAGGCTTGTAACTGTGCGTGCATGTCACAAGTGGCTAGTCGAACGCTGAACTGTTCATTGAGACAATGCTGAAACAACATCAATCCATGGGGAAGTCAGTGCCACATTTTAATTAATTAAACCAAAATGAACAAAGTTATTTAGTAAATGACATACATAGACCTAAATGGAACAGTCGCTTCAATCATGTCTTCCATAATGGTGGTTTATTTCTGTTGGTTTGTTGCCATTTTTCTGTGTAACCATTCAGTCAAAGCCTAGGCCTAGTCATTCCTGTAATGGACTATCAAATCAATATAAGCATATAAATATCATACCCTTATAAAATTTTTTTTACCCTATTCATTTATTGATGCTTATTTAGTGTGGTGCATTTAATGTCACCTCAAAATGAAATAATCACAACAGTTGCGGCAGGTAGCTTAGTGGTTAAGAGCGTTGTGCCAGTAACCGAAAGGACGCTGGTTCTAATCCCCGAGCCGACTAGGTGAAAAATCTGTCTGTGCCCTTGAGCAAGGCACTTAACCCTAATTGCTCCTGTAAGTCGCTCTGGATAAGAGCGTCTGCTAAATGACAAAAAAAAAAAAAAGTTGCTAAATTGCCGCTATATCCGATTGAGTAGACTACACATCCCCTAGTAGTAGGCTTATGTCTTAATGATATATTTATTTGATCACCCTCCTTCATTGGGATTGCGGAAGTTTGCTCCTGCGCCTTCTATGTCCTCACACTGGGCCATTTGGTGCTGTTCTGTTTCTGTTCCAATCAGGTAAACATGCCAAGTGTGCTTTCCCGTTTGGTACACTGAGCCAATTCATTCTCATAGGTCAAAATGTGTTTCAGTTACAAAGACAATATCCCCTGGCTGCTATGCACAACAATAGATTGCCTCTGAATATTTTTGCTGACATCACAATCAAATACCAACAACAAGTAAAGAGGATTTGTCAATGGATTTCCCCCCGCTTAACTGGCTTGTTTGTTAAGCGTAATTATCCATCAATTACTGCTGAATTATAGGTAACAAATTGATAAGGGTATTACAGCATTTTTGGTAGATAGTCTTAACACTCCATTTGTTTCTCTCTCTAGCCTACATATTTAAACTGTTTGGTGTTTTTCCCTCTCCTCAGGGAGGCTGAGGGCTTCAAAGAGCAAGGAAATGCGTGCTATGTCAAGAAGGATTATTCTGAGGCATTTAACTACTACACAAAGGCCATTGGTGAGAATGCAACACTATCTTTGTACCCTAGTTTAAAACAAAACATGCTAGCCCGTAGCGTAGAGAGCAACCATGTAGGGACCTTTTTGAAGGATTCTCAAATTATATATTTTGTATTTAACTGGATCGTTAGAGACAATTCTCATTGACGACCAGTTTGTAAATTCAGCTAATACTATTTTATTTAGCTATTCAGACATGGTGATATGTTTCTCTGGAATTGTAGACTGTTGTTTCAAGGTGATTGACAAAGGCGTTACCTTTTTGTTTTTGACAGACGCATGTCCTAAAAACGCCAGTTACTATGGAAACCGGGCGGCCACCCTCATGATGCTGTGCCGCTTCCGAGAGGCCCTGGAGGACTCCCAGCAGGCCGTGCGGCTGGACGACTGTTTCATGAAGGTCAGAGTTCAGCCAGCTTGCTTCAGCGGCGTGACGCCATTGTAGAGTATAGGGTTGTCGCGATACCAGTATTACAATACTACATTTTCCTACTCTTGAGTCCTTTAAGAACCTACTTTATGTAAAATATGATGTGCTGTAACTTGGAAAATAAACAATTTTGGCTGTTTCCAATTAGGACTGTTTTCCTCAAGAAATTGAGACTGCTTCATGTTTTGTTTCCTTGACATGATACTTCTGAGTATTACAATTAGAGCCCGACCGATAAATCTTTTTGCCGATATTATCGGCTGATGTTGGCCTTTCACAGATATGTGTTGGTCTTCCGTTTTTAAAACGCCGATTATTGTACATGAATGAACAAAAAAATCCGCTAATCTGAGCATTTTCTGAAATTTTTGTATAATTTTTCCATGTTTGCCCTGAAGAGGGCTCTCAAAGTTTATATAAGCCTCTCACTGAACGTCATTCAGTAGGCAGCTGATGGCAAAGGGTTAATTCTGAACAGTAGTAGGTATGCTGGGTTGACGATGCCACCGCATTTGAAAAAGTAATTAATCAAAAGTAAATCAAACTGGCTATGTACACTTCACCCAAGCAAGTAGTCCTGTCCTCATCACATTTTCTCACTTCGCGAACATTAGCCGGCTAGCTAGCTAGCTAGCTAGCAAGTTATTTTAGCTAGCAGGCTGTGCTGCTAATGCGATAGCTAACTAGACTGGTGGCGAAAGTTATACAGTAACACTAGTTGCAGCTATTGTCTGCCTACTGTGTGTTGGGTTAGTTTTCTTTTTGATCTGCAAAAAACAAGACACCCCCGCTGATCTGTCATTCAGGCCATGTGCTGATGATGTGATTTAGATTGTTACTTGCTAGAACGAGTTGTGGCACAAATGAGTGCGGCAAGCATAAACGTTGTCGCGCTTGCCATACAGAGTTGAAATATCTAGCTAATACATTTTGTATTGAATAACATTGCTTGTGCTGTAATGATTTGAGACTTAGGCTTTGGTTAAAGATCAGTATAAATGCTTTAAAGTTTAGATGATAGTGTAGACTTTAGAAGAAGAGCGATGACTATCTGGTGATGATTCGGATACAATGTTGTCATCTCACTGCCTGTTCTTAAAGCGGCAGTACAACATTACAAGTGCAATTTCATATTTACATTGAGATTACATTTATTAATTCAGCCAGGGCATCTACCTACTGTACACTGCAGATGGTCCCTCCCATAGAGATTCTAATAATTTTTATAGTATTCTAATTACATTTAGCAGATGATCATATCCAGAGCGACTTACAGTTAGTGCATTCATCAACAACCATATATCTCAGTCATAGTAAGGACAGTTTTTCTCAAAGTATCTCAGCAAAGTCTGTGCTAGTAGGGGGGGTGGGGAAGTCAAGTGTGAGTGTTAGTTCCCAATGGTCCCTCCCCTGTCTGTTTTGAGTGCTTTGTAATTGGCTTTATATTCCTAGAGGATAACTTTAGTTAAATCAGTTTTGCATAGGCCTACAAAAAATCTATATCATTGTTCACACCTTATTCATGTCTAGTAAGTAGTTGCAGATTTGTAGTTATTCACCATGTAAACTATGAAATGTATAGTAATGTTCTTAATGTTAATTTAAAAGGTTTGTGGCTAAAATGTCAGAAATCATCGTTTTAAAGTAGTCAATTGCAGCAGAATTTCTGCACAAAGCTCTACTTTTCATTCCAGCAATAAAAAATCCAATACTTTTGGCAGATATATCGGTAATTGGCACATTTTTTAAACCGGAATTGGTATTGGATCCAGAAATCCGTTATCGGTTGGGCTCTAATGATGATACTGGTATCGTGAAAACCCTATGTGGAGCACACCAACCCTTTGTAGTCATCCAGCAGCTTTAACCAGGAAGTATCTTCCCACCCACTGCACCACAGGGCCATCTGCGAGAGGGCAAGTGCCACTTGTCGTTGGGCAATGCCATGGCAGCCAGCCGCTGCTTTCAGAAGGTCCTGGAACTGGAGCCAAGCAACAGCCAGGCGCAGCAGGAGGTGGGTTCAAGTAACGTTGACGACCTTAAATGACCTGGGACTATTAGACAAATACTTATACGTGCATACCTAGATCTTCCCTCTCGTTTCCCATTGAACATTTACATTTGCTTCACTTGTTCTACTTTTTTAAATGTTGTTAAAGGCCTAGTGCTGCCAAAAATGTGATTTTCCTGTGTTTTTTTTAAAAATATATATATATATATATATATATATATATATATATAGATATATATATATATATATATTATATATATATAATATATATATATATATATATATATATATATATATATATATATATATATATATATATATATATATATATATATATATATACACACACACACATTTCCACACTATGAGGTTGGAATAATACTGTGAAATTGTGAACATTATGGTAATGCCTTTTTAGTTTAAGTGCTGTTTGGAAGAAAAAAAACACCTGGAAATTCGGCCTTTTTGGTGGGATGGAGTTTTGGCCTGCCTGGTGACACCAGCTGGTAACTTAGTTAATAGGGCTGTGAGGGTAATGGAATTTTGGATGATGGTAATTGGCCAGCCAAATGAATGCGTTCACCCTAATAACCTATAGAATAGCAAAAATATTAATTGTTTTGACGTACATTTTCTTGTCTCTGCTCCTGACTGCATGTGCTGCCATAGAATTAGAATGAATAGAACGGGCGTCCCCAGATCCATATATTTAGAGTTTTTGAATTTTTGAATTTCTCAGAGCATTGTTTAAATATTCCCCATGCAATGTTAATAGGGAGCTAACATGACTGCCATATGTTGTAGTCATTGTCTCTAACTTACTGACACAGTTGGCTAGCTAGTTAGCTAGCTCTTCCTTAACTGACATAAAAATCCATGCTTAGCCTGTTTAAATTACCCTGACGTTGTAGACATGCAGCCCCACAATTAAGAGGAACTGACTTTTATCAGAGATCCGTCCGTAGATCAGCATGTTTCTCCGCGATCGTATCATTGATTCTGTTGAGCATAGCAGTTGACTCTGGAGGCTATTGCAATGACTCATGGGAGAAGAACAGCTGCTTCATGAAAACTCATAATAATGTAAGCATTAGCTCTACTAGCTACAGTAGCTTGCTAGCTAGCTTTTGTTGGAAGATTCAACATCGTGTGTGCAGCACTAAATAGGTAGCTGGTTGGTTAGCAGCATCGTTTCAGTCAAAGATGATTTCAGTGTTGGACAAATGTATGGAATTATGCTATTGAAGCACAATAAACCTTAACTAGATGTGAAATAGTGCGACTAAGACTTCCTCACCCAAAAAAACATTCTTGACATATTTATTGTTTTAGCTTAGATTAATTCAGACAGTTTTGAGGCAGAAATGGGGTTCAGCAGACGATGTCAACTAGGTAATATTTTTTAACGTTATGACAGCCCATTGTAGCCAAACTACTTTTGATCTATCCCATTACCCTTTGCGAGATACGAGACTGATCAGTGCAGCCAGAATCGACGCGCTATCTGATGTAAGACAATGATGTTTTAGTGTTATGTAAATGCATCATAATGCTCATTCTAGACATTCCGTTTTATAGTATTTTTCTAAATATTCCCATGTAGTGTTAATGGGGAATTAACATGGCTGCCATAGAATGTTGAAGTGTCTCTGTGCGTTCGTAAATTCACTCTGGCTATCTACTCCGATTTCAGAGCACTCTGGTCTGTGTGTGCCAGAGCGAAGAATAACTGATGAATTTACAAACGCGCCACACCCGTTGAATATGACCTGTGTCAGTAAATGTCTGAAAATAAGTAATTAAATTGTTGCCAGCAGCACAGTTATAGTCACCAACACTCTAGATAACATGAAAACAGCCTAACCAGCTCTGCTAGGGCAAGTAAAATGGTCAGAGTGAGGTGTTCTCTCGTGTGTCTGGAAGTAGCTAGCAAGCAATTCAACTTTAGCCAGTTAGCTTGGGTGCTTGACTGCCGTTGTGAGGTCAGAACGCTCAGATCAACCCAACTTCTCAGCCGGAGCATCCAGTGTGAGCTCTGAACGCTCCGAGAGTGAAACACTCTGAATTTATTAACAGTCAATCTGACAACGCTCTGAATTTACGAACGCCCAGAGTGCACTCTGAGCGCACTCTGGCGCTCGAGAGTGAATTTACGAACACACCCTAAATACATGGCTCTGGGCGTCCCCATTCAAGTCAATGATGCCATAATGGGTGGACTGGCGGATATTGCAAGGAGCAAAGCAGGAAGTGTGCCCATTAGGGATGCAAATTTCGGTCAATTTTGCTGCTGACTAAGCAACCTTCATTAACCGGTCAACAAAGAATACATTTTTCCAAAACAGTAAAATTACGTGACCAACAGACAATACAAAGCATGCATACAAGGATCTGACATTTTTCATTTAAGAGCTTAATGAAAACATGCAACAATAGCAAGCCTATCGTCTTACAGTCAAAAGGCTATATAGCCTATTATTGAACATGCAACTGTTGTAATGAAGCAGCAAATAAACATTATTTTCAAGCATTTGCTAAAATGCAATTCGAGGGGAAAACAACGTTCTAAACAGTGCACCTAATGTGAGCGCTTCCATATGTGACGGAGATGAACATCTCAAACTTAGAAAGAGGGGGAATCTAATAGCAACAACTAGGATGGGTTGCTAATATTACTAGGATTGTGCCTTCTTGCTTCTGGACAACTAAATAATGTTGATATGAAAACCAATAGAACAGGAGATAAATGCTGGTTAATGGCATGAGGAAGTCTTTATAAAAAAGATTGCTTCGACATTTCTATGGTTTGATTTTGGCTAGACTACTTTGAAGCAAGCGAATACATGCCTCATTATTTAAAGTAAAACGTTCAGGTTTCAAACAATACTGCTTCAAGCTCATATTGTAACGTGCTGATAGCCTGCCTACCGTTGATTTATAGCCTATGCACTCAACTTGTGAATGGGATGCGCACTTTAATTATGAGTTGAGATTGAGTAGTAATAGTCGCTTTCTTTTTTGCATTTAGTGTTGTTATTTGTTGCCCGATGACTGGGCTTATAAAAGCACACGTTTAACTCCAGTGTCAGTACTGCGCTCGCGCTGTCTGACAGGTGATAGGCCATTCCGCTCTTCAAACTAGGCTCTGTATGCTGTGGGCGTGTGATAAGGTAAATGACGACCCAAAAACAGTGAGGGAAAAAAGTATTTGATCCCCTGCTGATTTTGTATGTTTTCCCACTGACAAAGACATGATCAGTCTATAATTTTAATAGTAGGTTTATTTGAACAGTGAGAGACAGAATAACAACAAAAAAATTCAGAAAAACGCATGTCAAAAATGTTATACCGTATTTTCCGTACTATAAGGCACACCGGAGTATAAGCAGCAGCAACTAAATTGAATGATATTGAATGATGTGTACATATATAAGCCGCACTGGACTATAAGCCGCAGGTGTTTTAATGTTTAATTACCATATGTAAGGGTTCGTGCACAGAGGGGATTGTCGGGAAAGAGACAAACTGTCTTGCTCTCGTTCTGTCTCTCGTACCACTCTCGGTTCCACTTTTACTTTTGCGCGCTACCTGTCTCACTCTTTTCCGGCCTCCAGCTTTTCCTGCTGGAGCCTACCGCTTAAAGGTGGGGGACGCGGACCGGTCATAGAGCCCATAGAGTTAAAGTTGGTGGACTGTAACCTGTAAAATCCATAGATTTAGGAGGTCTTCTAGTGGCCGTTAGCTGTAAAAATCCATAGATTAGCCGCACCGTTATATAAGCCGCAGGGTCGAAAAATTGGAAAAAAGGCGCGCCTTATAGTCCAAAAATTACGGTAAATTGATTTGCATTTTAATGAGGGAAATAAGTATTTGACCCCTCTGCAAAACATGACTTGGTACTTGGTGGCAAAACCCTTGTTGGCAATCACAGAGGTCAGACGTTTCTTGTAGTTGGCCACCAGGTTTGCACACATCTCAGGAGGGATTTTGTCCCACTCCTCTTTGCAGATCTTCTCCAAGTCATTAAGGTTTCGAGGCTGACGTTTGGCAACTCGAACCTTCAGCTCCCTCCACAGATTTTCTAAGGGATTAAGGTCTGGAGACTGGCTAGGCCACTCCAGGACCTTAATGTGCTTCTTCTTGAGTCACTCCTTTGTTGCCTTGGCCGTGTGTTTTGGGTCATTGTCATGCTGGAATACCCATCCACGACCCATTTTCAATGCCCTGGCTGAGGGAAGGAGGTTTTCACCCAAGATTTGACAGTACATGGCCCCGTCCATCGTCCCTTTGATGAGGTGAAGTTGTCACCTCCATGTTTGACGGTGGGGATGGTGTTCTTGGGGTTGAGTTGATGCCAAAGAGCTCGATTTTGGTCTCATCTGACCACAACACTTTCACCCAGTTCTCCTCTGAATCATTCAGATGTTCATTGGCAAACTTCAGACGGGCCTGTATATGTGCTTTCTTGAGCAGGGGGACCTTGCGGGCGCTGCAGGATTTCAGTCCTTCACGGCGTAGTGTGTTACCAATTGTTTTCTTGGTGACTATGGTCCCAGCTGCCTTGAGATCATTGACAAGATCCTCCCGTGTAGTTCTGGGCTGATTCCTCACCGTTCTCATGATCATTGCAACTCCACGAGGTGAGATCTTGCATGGAGCCCCAGGCCAAGGGAGTTGTTCTTTAGTGTTTCTTCCATTTGCAAATAATCGCACCAACTGTTGTCACCTTCTCACCAAGCTGCTTGCCTATTGTCCTGTAGCCCATTCCAGCCTTGTGTAGGTCTACAATCTTGTCCCCGACATCCTTGGAGAGCTCTTTGGTCTTGGCCATGGTGGAGAGTTTGGAATCTGATTGATTGCTTCTGTGGACAGGTGTCTTTTATACAGGTAACAAGCTGTGATTAGGATCACTCCCTTTAAGAGTGTGCTCCTAATCTCAGCTCGTTATCTGTATAAAAGACACCTGGGAGCCAGAAATCTTTCTGATTAAGAGGGGGTCA